TGTGTGTGTCTCGTGTGTGTGTGTGTGTGTGTGTGTGTGTGTGTGTCTGTGCTTGAGTGCGGGTGGCGGGAGGAAAACAAAAACTGCGCGCACACAGAGAAAACAACGACAAAAACAAAAACGCCAAAAAATCAAGACATCAAGGAATAATTAAGTTAATCTAACCTTCTCTTTCGCGTTGGTTGTGTTGGCGCAATTTATTTATCTATTTTTTTTCCCCCCTCACGGACCTTCATCATTATCATTATTAAGTTTGGCTTTTCCTGTGCCTCTCTGTCTCTTTCCCTTTGTGTGTGTGTGTGTGTGTGTGTGTTTCCTGCGTGTGCCACCGTCCTGGCTTCACCGCGCCGCTTGCCCTGCGTTGCTTCGCACTGTCTGAGGCGCGCGCAGTTCTGTTGCCCCTTCTTCTCTTTTTTCCGCCTTTTCCCGCGCTGCTTGCGGCGGCCAACCAACGGAGGAGAGCTGAGCGCCTGTGGTGCGGAACTGCCTGCGCACGGAAGGGGACCCACAGCCCACGGCACAAACACACAGACACACACCGAGACAGAGGCCGACGTAAAGACATACGGCGAGTGGGAGGGAGCGTGAGGGACCAGCGGCGGAGCGTAGTTCGTCTGCGTGAGAATAGGGTGGTTGCGTGTCTGCGATGAGTGGGGTGCGTGTGGCGTCCTTTTCCAAGTACTTCGCCATCGGCGCAACCGCGGCCGTGATGTGCTGCGCCCGCCACTACAATTGGCTGCAACACCAAATATCTAGCGACTTACAGGAGCACTACCGCAGCGTCGCACGCTACGCAGATCAGGTGGCGGACTTGGAGGCGGCGCTGGCGAGAAAAACAGCAATGAAGACAAAAGCAGTGGCGAAGGAGACACCACAGTTACACGGAGCGGCTCGTGAGGATGGGCAGAGTCGATGACGGCCTCGTCTCCTGCAATACTTGACTCTGCCTTTCTCGGGTGCGCCTGCGAGGCGGGGGAACGCGGGGGGTGGGAGTCGCTGACACGGTGACCAGGCCGCTGCCGTGGGGGATCGGGTGATTGTGGTCAGCCACGGCGGGAATACAAGTCAAAAGGTGGCGTGGCTTTGAGTGTGATGCGTGAGTGTGTGTGCGTGTGGCGAAGTATACACGGCTCGCCTTACTCCATGCCCATTCGTGTGTGTTCTTCGTGCGTCTGTGAGCGCGCCTTGTTGAAAGGCTGTGCCGCGTTGTGCGCGAGCTGCCGTCTCACGGGCTTCTGCGTGGTTCACGTTCTCTTCCGCTTCTTCCCTGGCACTCTTGCAGTATCACACATCTGGCCAGAGTACGAAGCCCACGACACCAACAGAAGCGCAAGGGAAGGAGAACTCACTGACTCTCCCACTTACTCAGATATCTATACATATAGACATATATATATATAGGTAAGGAGGGGGAGAAGCGTGTATTCGTAGTTATAAAGCTCGATAAAGTAAAAAAAAAAGTGAAACAACGATACACCGGCGGCGCGAAGCCACGTCGCCCACGGTCGCAGGACGAGGGACACTAAAGGCCCTAAAGGAAGGAAGGAAGAGAAGGAGGGAGGGCGCGGCGGCAGGAGACCCACACACACACACACTTTTTGGCGGGGCGGCGTGTGCTCCGAGAGGAATCGTGTGCGTCTTGTCATCCGCTTCCGCCTGTGGAGAGCGATTCTCCTCCATCCACGTCCCGCACTGGGCGCCCACGGAACCGCAACGGCGTTGACGAAAGACGGAGGCAACGAACGAAGGAAAACTCGAGAACGAAAAGAGATAAATCAATAACTACATAAAAAAAAAAGGCAGATACGAGGCGGGAGCGACAAGTGGCGTGCCGTGCGATTTGCCTCCCCACCAGCTTGCTTCGCTGCAGGGGAGGCCGCTCTTCTGCTTGGCTTGCGTGTGCGTTGACCCACGCACGACGCCTCGGCGGCGTTCGCCGGCCAACAAGGAAGAAGAGGAGAAAGGGAAGGGAGTAAAGTGTGTGTGAGAGAGAGAGGGAGAGTCTCTTCATTTTGGAGGAGGGCGGAGAAAAGCCTCAGTTTTTATTTCGTTTTTTTTTTTTTTTGCTTTGGCGGCAGCGGTGGCCGTGTACTGTGTGTCTGATCGCTGGCTCAATGGCGGCACGGCTGGACGCGCTGGCGCGAGAGTTCTTCACCACCTCTAGTCCCTCCACGCCGCCCCAGCCGCGGCGCCGCGATGCCGGAGGGGTTGGCGGCGGCAGCAGCCCCACAGCGGCAACGGGGGTAGGCGTGCGGGGGACAGACGGGGCCGCGACGCTTCAGCCGCCCACGTGGGAGGCGGTGGCGGATGGACACGAGACGATGGGCGATCCTCGCGGCAGTCGCAATAAGCAGCGGCGCCTGCAGCTCATGGCCCACGACGAGGCCCACTTTTTGCCGCCGTTGCTGCAGTACTTCAGTGAGTTGGCCATGGCGAGCACAGCGATGTCGTCCGCCACACACGCGCTTCTGGCTGCGCCGTCGGGTGTGGCGTCAGCGGCCACAATAGCGACGATGCGGACGGCGGCGCCAGGGCACGCGTCAGTGCGGCGTCACACAAATAAACGAGTTGTGGAAGGGGGTGGCACGGTCCTCAGGGGGCGTCGCTTGCTGGCGCATGAGCGGCATCAGGCGGAGGGTCACCTCAATGGAAATGCAGGCACGGCACCTGGATACGCCCACTCATTAAGTGGCCATCGTCCCACGTCCTTTCGTCACCTTGGCGTCTACTCCGACTACCACCTCTCGCCAGAGCGGATTGACGTGTTCGCCAATTACCCGCAGCCCCCATTGACAGACGGCGGGGCCTCCTACGAGGCGCTGGAACCGAACCATCAGAGAGGACTCAACGCCCTGGCGGCGCTGGTGGAGCAGTGCAACCGCTCCTTTGTGCAGGAGCGGGGCTCTGCGGCGGCCTCCTCGGCCCCACTCGGCAAACGAGTCTTGAATTCAGAGTCTGTTTCCGTCGGCCCGTCAAGTGCGACCGCAGGACTAAGTGACCAACGCGATGCAATCGTGAATAGACTGAACATTCTTTTACGCGACCTCGTGGCTCACGGCGAGCGCGTCCTCGCGCTGCACGTCATCATGCGGGCCATCTCATGGCGGTTTGCCAGCAAAAACGAGCGTGTCACGATTTTGTTTAACCACCTTCGCACCTGTCTACCTTCGGCCAGCATTTCTATAGTCACCCTTGCCATGGAGGTGTGGGCCCAGTTACACGTGATTGAGGCGAGTTCCTCGGTGTACCTTAGAGTCACCTCGGAGCTTCTTTCGCTGGCCTGTGACTTTTTGCACTACGATACCACGTTGGCGGAGCAGCTGTCAGGCCTTATCATCATTCGTCATGTGGCGCTGTGGCCCACGTCTCTCTACCGCGCCATCCTCTCCAACGACCGCGACTCCCTTCTTCTAGCAACTTGGACGGCGATACCGAACGATGGATCTCCGGCCTTTATTCGAGAGCTCGCGGCGGAGGCGCTACGCGCGTTATTTGTCATTGCCTTAGAACAACGAAACTACCGCTCGGTCAACACCGTGCTTCAACAGGCTATTATCCTTTTACTCGCCCCTGAGCGGAGTGTGGAGATGCCGAGCTCCTTTTCGATTTCCCCGCGACACCGGCTTGGAGGCGAGGGACCGCACGAGTTCACCCCCGTCCAGGCTGGGCAGCCACCGCAGCCTATACCACCCTTGACCTTGGCGATGCAGCAGCGTGGGGGCCCCCACAAGGGCGCTGAGGGCGAGACCCACGCCAAGGAGACGGGGGGTGCGTCCTTACAGCTCTTCGGCAAGCTGAAGCGGAAAATCACCGCATTTGGCCAGCGCCTTTTTGGTACTTCTGCAGGCCACCGCTCGATGAGTCACACGCTAAGCGCATCGGTTAACGCGGCTGCGAGCGTGCGCGAGGCCACAGCGGCGGCCCTGGAGAGAGAGTCAGTTGTTTCTCCTGGCTCTTGTTCAACACTGCCGCTATTTACCACCTGCAGGAGGAGCGGTGCCTCAGGTGCGATGCGCCGAAAAGCTGCAAGAACGCCTCTCAGAAGTTCCACAGCCGCAAACTAGTGAGACCGCTCTCCACGCTGGAACACTCGTCGTGGGAGCTTTTGTGGGTGCTGTGCGTTGCTGCTTCCCCAACTGGGAGCCCTCCGTTCTTGACCCAGCCGGCGACCACGCGGCGGTCGCGGGGCCGTACCACACCACACGCGGCACCGTAGCAGGGGCCGCTGCAAAAATGACAACGCCAGTTGGAAATACGACTAGGAGGAGCTCCGTGCGGAAACCCTCCTCGTGCTCGCACTCCTTGTGTGTTGTCAGCGTTCGCAGTGGCAGAAAGGAAGTGTATCCCGGCCACCGTGCCTCTCGCCCACCGCTGGATGTGGAGGACGATAACGTGGAGAGCACCTCGCGTAGGAGCGAGGCGGACGACGCCCGGCGGTATGCCGCGCAGTCCCCCCAGACGGAGGGCGGGCAGCGGGCGGAGGAAGGCGTGGACGCCGCGGAGGAGGAGGACGACGACGTCGACGACGATGACGACGACGACGACGACGAGGAAGACGTAGACGACGACGAGGGCGAAGGCTGGTTTAGTCTCCCCAGCTCCGCCTCCGAGGATCCCCGCCCGCTAGCGATGCCGGGACCGCTGCGTAATCGACGCACGCTGCTCCCGTCTCCGGAGCACGCGCCCACCTCCTTTTACCGTGGCTCTTACAACTCAGGGAGGGAAACCAGCGCAGCCGCGGCTGCTGCCACGACCCCGACGGTGGCGGCGGTGGCAGCTGCCGCCGCCGCGGGTACGACCGCTGGCGAGGTAGGAAGAGTCAAGGCGGAGTCCGTATCGCCTTCGTTGGCTTCCGCCCCGAGGCAGCATCCGCCACTTCATCCCCGGCACTCCCATCAAAGGCTGCGTCAGGCAGGGTTTGGCGAGCGGCAATCTCGACGAGCATCGCTTCAGATGAATCTCGGCAGCCGTAAGTCGGCAGAGTTGGAAAACTTACTTCCCCCGGCCACAATGCGCAGCCTGTTGTCACTTTGCTACTCATGTGGCACACACGACGCGGCGATTGTGTGCCCACAGTTTTCCTCGGTCCCCCTGTCGCTGTATACAGAGCGTCTCTTGCCCATTCTAGCCCTCTACAGCCCACGTAGCCTGACGCGCGAGGACGTCTTGATGGCGCTGCGCTTACTCATTGGTCGTGCTGTTTCGACCTTTCACGAGACTGTGGAGGCCCTCCCGTGTGTTGGAGGTGGTGAAGACGTACATCGGGTTGCGGCCAGGGCGGCGATAAGTCGCGGGAACGCCCTTCGGAGTCTTGCGCTGATCAATATTGGGCTCTTTCTCGCCGCTATAGTCAGCTCCCATGCTGAGATGTTTCAGACGGCCTTTATGCAGAAAGTTTACCCCATCCTCTTCTGTGCGCTGCAGTACGACACACCGAGCTACTGCCCCGCCGCCTTTCCCGTCCTTGCCTTGCTGGTGCACAACATTCCCGCGGGGTGCCTTGAGCGTTTCCAGCCTATTGTGAAGCAGCTGACGGAGATGGCCCTCTCCGCCCCCTTCACCACAGAGATGACGGGCGTGGCTGCGAAGGTGTGCGACATTTATCCGGAGCTGCAGCCGAGGTGCCAAACCACCCTTCTGCAGCGCATTGCTGAGGTCCTTACCGAGACTGGGTCCCGGCGGGACGCTCGGGCGGGTGGAGCCGATGCAAGGCGCGACGGTAGACGAGCAAGGACGAGCCCGCTACTTGAAGCGTGTGACGACCCCACCACGTTTTTGGCCACAAGCTTTTTTAACTTGGAGGAAAAGATTATGTGTTTTCGGGTACTGCAGGGGTTTTGCATGGAGTGGGAAGGCACCGCCTTCTTCTTCCTGGAGGTGTGCATGCAGTACATGTCGCACCGTCACGCGGCGCTGCGGCGGGAGTGCGTTCTCTCATGCGTCAACCTGCTGCTCTCCGACTGCTTCCGAGCGCTGCCGCAGAAGGCAGGCAGAGGCGCGGCCGTGGGTGGACGCGTGAAGCGGGCAACATGTAAGCCACGACATTTATTTGTGACCAGCCCCGACACGAATACGGATCATGCCTCCACGCGCGCCGCCAGGCCGATGCTGAACGCACGGACTGCGGGCGCGGGGGGCGAGTACAGGTCGACGCAAATGGGGGGTCGTTTCTTGCGCCGGGGAAGCCTCACGGCCGCCGCCTCTGCCGCCAATACGTCGACGACGACGACGATGACGACGCCAACGACGACAGCGACGACGACGCGGACGAAGAGGATGTCAGAAGCGACAACGGGTACGGTCAGCAACGCGGAAGCGAACGACGCCCAGGCGCCGGCGATGGAGAGTGAGGTGGCCGTCACCTGCGACAGACACACGGGTCGTTCACACATCAACACTTTGCGCGAGGTCCTGCACCGGCTCGTGGAGGTTGCCGTGTGCGATCCAGAGGAGACCATCCGCCACGTGGCCCTCAAGAACCTCACACCCGAGACAGACCAATTCATCTGCACGCACGTAGAGGTTGTGGAGCTTCTCTTTTACGCCTTCAACGACGAATATATGCCTAACCGGGTGGAGGTGGTGCGACTTCTGCGCCGCCTGACGCAATACGCCTTCTCCGGCATCTACCCACGGCTGCGAAAATTGTTTTTGCAGATGCTGCACGACTTCCAGGAGTGCGTCTTTCTCTCCGCCTCTCACCATGGGGGAACACCGTCCACGACGACGAAAATCGACGCGGAGCAACTGCAACTGTTCTTTGAGCTGGCGCAGGCGGTCCCCTACTCCATTCCGCTTCACTTGGACAGCCTCATACGGCTGCTGCGGCAGGTACTGCTGCCGTGCCACGCAGCTGAGCGGGGTACGGTGATTATCGCCCTGCACATGCTCTCGTACCTGATGGATGAAAGCACACGTGAGGAGTGGGATAAGTTTGAGCCGCTGTTGGAGCTCCTTTCAGAACAGTTGCTGCTTCGCGACGGTGATGCAGACCGCCTGCATGCGGCCATTAGGGCCCTGCAAAGGGTCATTCAATACTTTGTTGTTGCAAAGCCTTTTTACAACTCAAATGGACTACAGACAATTATTGCTAGCCTGCAGTCACTGCTGTACCAAAAACCATCGATTGGTTCCGAGTTGTCTCTCTCGGTGCTGAAGCTGCTTGGCACCATCAGCTCTATTGAACCCTTTCACCAACAGGAGGAAAACCACGACACCACGCTGCTCCTTGGCCACCCAGAGTACAAGCACAGGTTACCATTTGTTCTGCACGCCAATCTAGAGGGCGTTTTGCCGGGCAATGAATCCTACAGCCAGATAGAACTGCAGTTTACGGAACGGCTGTGGCCCGATATTATCTTGCGTGTCCTCCTCCGCACCTTTTTTGAGGCTCTCGACGGTGTGCTTACCTTTACCAATGAGGAGATAGGGGCCTGCCTGCAGGCAACCGTGGCCATCCTGCGCGAGGCAGGGACGTTGCAGAGCCTGGAGCATTACCTGCCGTCGCTGTTGAGTGTGCTTACCGGGCTCTTTTCTCGGGATGGGGCGGATTCCCCGCTGCGCGTGTCAACCATGGAGAACCTTGCGGAGCTGGTGCATCTTTCTGGTCGCACCATTGCACCCATGTACGCCCTCCTGGTGGCCTTCCTTGAGCAGCACTGGGTCTCCTCCTGGTATGCGCTTCCCAGCTGCTGCAAGCTACTCATGGCACTCTGCAATGTAGTTCCGGATTTGGCGCAGGAGCACTGCGAAAAGTTCCTTTCGCTGCTGCTGGGCGAATTAATGCGACTGGTTGGGGAGATGTCCCCGGCGCCTAGGGCCACCAACGCGCAGCAGCTGCGGAGTGAGGTCTCCACTCTCACCCGTGCCTCCGCGGTGGGGATGCACGCCACTTCCGGCGTTATACATGAGGTGCTGAAGGCGATGCACTCCCTCCTTCCCATCGCGGACCAGTCAGCCATACAGTCCGCCTGCCTGGCGCTTGCGCAGCTGTTGCCAAATCCCGCAAGTACGTCAGGCCCGCTGGAGCTCGCGGGGGCGTGCGACGTACCGGCCTCTTCCTCCTCCTCCTTTGCCGCCCCTCCCACGACCTCGTTCGACACCGAGGTGAGCTACGTCATTGCGCAGTTCTTGGTGGAATTTTTGGACGACTGTGACGTGACGACCAAGGCGACGGCGGTTGTGGAGAGCGTCTTGCTGCAGCTCTGGCACTATGCACAAGCCCACAAGGCAATGCTGCAGTTGGTTGCGGGGACGCAGCGGAGCGAGCTAACGCGGGCGAGGCAACGCGATCGACGGCAGGAAAAGGAATGGCATTGGCTGCGACGCGGCTCATTCGCGCGACAGCAGGGCAACAAGCTTCCAGCGACGCCCGCCACGACGCGCATGTTACTAGAGCAGGAGCTGCGACGCCGACGCGGGGACCAGACGATGTGGTTCAACCGCTCTTCGCTTGCGCGTCTGCTGATTACGCCGGAGGCCACGGCCGGGGATGTCGCAGAAAAGTATTCCTTTCCCTTCCCCTTCCAGGAGACAATTACCTCGTGGGAGTCGCCGGTTGAACTGGACCTTCTCGCGTGTGTGTTTGTTGTGGCTGGTCGTTGCCGACTTCCTGCCGTCTCCTACGACCTCATGATTGGCGAGTACCTGCAGCAGCGCTTTGATCCCGGCAGCCCGGTGGTGAAGTTCTTTCGCGCCGTCACATCCCCGCACTACCGCCTCTCCCTTTTACCGTTGGGGGCTCAGCAACCACAAGCCCCACCAGCGCCACCGCCACCACAAATGCAGCCAAATCAGGAACAGGCGCGGGGCAGGCGGGCTGCGTCTAGTGCGTCAGGCCACGGGACTGCCGACGTTCCGATTTCAGAGGCAATGTCGCCGGGGTCGCTTGCGGATAGGCCGTGCGGCGGCAACTTATCTCTCAGGAGCAGAGAGGAGGAGCCACCGCACTCCACGCCTATTCCAATTCGTGCGCAGAAGCCGCCGCTAAAGAGCTCGCGCTCCTCGTCGGTCTCCTCGCTCCCGGTCGTGTCGTCGTCGTTGGCGACGCTGTCAATCTCGGGCGTGGAGAGTGCGACACAGGTGCTGTTGGCGAGAGCGGTGACGCCGGAGTCGGGGCGCGGCAGTGGGAGAAGGGCCGCCTCCTCGGTTGGGCGTGGCATCAGCGGCCTTTCGTGCGCGGACTCCGCCGCGGCTCCGGTGGTTTCGGTGGTTCCTGTTGGCGGCGGTGGCGGAATCCACAGACAGTGGGGGATGCAGCGCCAGCTGGACTTCTTTTCGAGCGAAAGCAACAGCGCCGCAAACAACAACATTGGGGGGACGCTTCATGTAGACGACGAATGCCCGCTGGCTGTTGAGGGGGAGGAGAAAAGCAAGCGGCAGGAGGCCGCCACGGCGTATGATAGCGATAACGACGAGGACGACAACGACAACGACGAGGGGAGCTATGCGACGGAGGAGCAGCGCCTCTTTCTGCAGCATGAGAAACTCTCCAGCAGCGAGTGGCGGCCGTGGTTTGAGCTCTTCTGCACCATGCTTGTGGACAGTAGTGATCACGTGTGTGTGAGCATTTGCTCGACGCTCGTGCGACGACACTTCAGCATTTTTGCCTCAGATTTGATGCCCATCGCCTTCCTGTCGCACCTCACAAAGTACGACGACAGAGGCGTGCTGCGGTGGATGCGGCTTATCTGTGAATTTGTGCGTCTGCATGAAAATTTACCGCAGACCATTGCCGCCGAGATGGCGCGGTTGGCGCACTACATTCGTCTCTATAGCCCCTCGCTCTTCTCCAGGCCTCTTGCGCGGGCGATTGAGCAGACGTACATCACACTGGACCTCGTCTCTGTGCTTGCCGAGCGTGCCCTCAACTCCCCACTTCTGTTGATGTGCACCCTGCAGCAACTACTTGGCGGTTTCTCCTGGGAGGCGCTGGCACGTCTGACTATGGCCGTGGGGGACGTGAACTACGAACACGACCTACGATTGTTCTCACGAAATCCGTTGCTGCGTCGAGCGGCGCATCAGTTGCTGCAGGCCAGGCGACAAAAGTGTCGGACAGGCGTCGACCACGGTGGCGGCAATCCCACCACGGAGAAACTCAGTTCCTTCACCGATGCGCTTCCGTGGGAGACGCAGCAGGGCGCCCACGGTGGCGGTGATGCCATTTCGGCCGCAGCGACTGTCTCTGCACTGGGCACAGAAGGGAATGCAGAGGACTGCACGCTGCCCACCATCTTTCTTGAGTTGGGATGGTTCGAGGCAGCACTAGGACAGTACCTGCGTTCTATTTGGGCGACGCTGCGGGTGCTTGCTGTCGGCAGTGGCAGCGGCAGTGGCAGCGGCAGCGGCAGCGCGGTTCCCACGCAGTTGCCGAGTCCGCGGTTGTCTCTAAGTGACGTGGTGGGTGCGATGCGCTGCTACATGCGCGTGTATGACTTTGAGAGTATTATAAAACTGTGGCAGAGGATCAAAGATGCCCCTTTCGCCCCTGAGGAGGGGGCGACGTCGACGCCGGCGGCGGCGGCGGAGGAGCAGCAGCAGGAGGAGTTTTTGCAGCGCAAAATGCTAGGGACAACATGGACGCCCACCGCGGGGGGGCCCATCCTTCCGCACATCACACGCTACGTTGTGTCGGCGGCGCGGGCGCTCGCTCGCTGGGATCTTGTGGACGAGATCCACTACAGCCGCTTCCTTGCCGACACCAGGGGCGAGCGCGACTGGTGCTCTCGCAGTTACGGAGGCCTTCCATTTCACAAGCAGACGGAGATCTTCCGTGCCGCCGCGCTGACGGCGGCAAAGGAGTACGAGCAGGCAAAGGGCATACTCAGCGACCTGCGGACGGCGCTACGCGACGCCTACGCCGTCTTTCATGCCGAGAACGCCCGACTGAGGTTTGAGCTGCACATCATGTTCCAGGAGATCTCTGACCTCGAGGAGGGCATAGACGCGGTGGAGCTGAAAACGGCACACGGGGACTCCACAAGCAAGGTTGTGGGCCCGGCTCCTTCTATAGCGACCCTCGCGGGAACAATCGCCCCTGCGGCGACGGCGACGACGAACCCGACCGCCGCAGCAGCAGCTGAGGCTGCTGGTGGCGCCGGCGGTGGTGGCACTACCGACAATCGGAGGGATAACTCCGCCACGGCTGCTGCTAATGGTAGTGGTGGTGGTGGGGGACGTGATGGTGTGGAGCCGCAGCAAAGTAGATGGCGCGGAAAGGTTGCGTACACGGAGGCAACGCTGCGGCGTCTGAAGAACATTGCCGGAAGACCGCTTCCTGCCCACAGTACCGTGGTGCAGCGGTTTGAGCTCATTGCCCTGCGGAGTACGCTTGCGTCCCCCGACTGGCAGCTGCGGAACATTCTGGAGCTCTCTGAGCATATTCTGCGCAAAGGTATGCCCAAACGGGCTGCTAGCACGCTTGCTTACTTCTATTCCCTTCCTCTCGATAACACGGACACGCTAGAGGAGAGGAAGTACCGCGACACCCTATTGCTGGAGAAGTATCGTATCGAGCTGCAGCATTTGTTTCGCACGCGGGATTTGGACTATCTGCACAATGAAATCACCGAGGAGTTAATGCTGAGGTGCCACACCGGGTTCATGCATACACCGCGTTCGATGCGGGTACTGGACACCGGTGAGATAGCCGTTGATGCCTTTCTTGGCTCAGGGCCTGTGACGGAGAAGCAGGCGGAGTTGCTTTTGCTCCACATTGAGTGTCAGCGTAAGTTAAATACGGTGCATCAGCAGCGACGGCGCTTTTCACTGGCGCCGTCACCCAAGCTGGTGCCTCACCCACACACACCTGCTGCCTCATTGGGCGAGTTTGGAATGACTTCACGGGCATTCCTCAACTCCGCCTCCTCGCGCGATGCCGCCCTGCTCGATGGGGAGGAGGATGAGTACAACCCCGCCTACGGCCTTCTGCGTGAGTACCGCATTATGGAGCACATTATTGGCTCCTCCATCACCTTGGCGTCGGTGTGGCGGGAATTTGGGCTCCTGTTATTCGACGTTTGCATGGCCATCTACGCCGAGTGGGACGTCACGCGGGAGCCGGAGACGCTTGACAACTTCTGCGTGCAGTCCGAGAAGGCCATCAGTGCGTTGCAGAAGTCGGTGCAATTTTGGAGTAGTGCGACCTTCACCGCCATCTCAGGCGTCGGCCCCTTCACGACGCACTCCGCACGTCGCGCTCGCCACGCGCGCTCCGCACTACCAGCGATGCATCTTCTGCTGAAGGCGCTTCACCTCGCACTTAAGCTGGAGGAGATTGGCACGGATGGCGTGGGCATGGAGGAGAAAAAAAATAACGCGACGGGCGCCTTGGACGCCGCGACCGCCCGACCCGCATCGGGTTCGGCGGCGCCGGAGCGAAGTGAGGCGTGGGATCGCGGCACAGGCATCGCCCATCTCGACTTCTCCCCCGCCATGCACCTTCACTGGGGGTACGTCCTGCCTATCCTCGTAAACGCCGCGGCGCGCCACCGCAAGCTCCGCGCCGCGGTGCGTGAGATGTGCGCCCAGTCCCGCGTGATGCTCTACCAGTGCGTGTTTCACCTCGTCTCCACCTTTGAGCATAGCCACCCCTCCTTCCTCGCGCTGGAGGAGGCCAGCCGCGCGGAGGTGCTCCACTACGACGCGGCGTACCCGTGCAGCGGGCTCTGTTCACTTCCCTCCTCTGCCCCGCACGCGGCAACGGCGTCCACGCCAGCGACGTACCTCGCGGAGGAGGCGGTGGCTGAGGACGCCATGGGGCGAACGGCCCCGCGCCGCCCCGGAGCCGCATCCGCGGACTCCACACTCGACCTGCGGCAGCCGCGAAGACCGGGAGCCGCAGTTGGGCCGCTCTCTCTGCTGGGGAGCCCCAGCAACTGTGAGGAGGAGCGGCGGCTGCTGTCGTCTCCGCGCGACACCCGGAACCCTCAGCAACCCCATCAGCCGCCGCCCCCAACTTGGCATCCGCGTGACATTTGCCCTTCTCAGCTGCTTCCGCAGCAGGAACGGCATAAGCACCACCACCACCACTACCACCACCAGCAGCAGCAGCAGCAACAGCAGCATACCCATCATCATCAGCCGAAGCAGTGGCGCTCCGCCATGCTTCTCAAGCTCGCAGAAAACGGGCCAGAGTACAAGTTGATTATTTCACAAACCTTGCAGCTTTGTGAGTTTTTGCGAAATGGCAAGGAAAAGTTGCTTGCTCTGGGCGCGTGCACCTTGCCGATGCCTACGTGGCTGCTTCAGCACCACATGGTGGAGGTCGACGCAAACGCGCAGGAGTCGCAGAAGGGCCAATCTGCGAATATGCGGAGTTTTCTCAACACTACCGACAACCACACGCAGACGGAGAGAGAACCCGGTCCTAGGAATCACGATGGCGCCAACGCCGCCGCCTCGTCCCCCGGTGCCACCATTCAGGGAGGTGGCTGTAAAGCGTCACCGCGTGTTTTGCATGTACGGAGAAAAGTTTATTCCTTGTCGTCTGAACGTCGGCGTGAGGAGGTCTTTCTGTTTTTCCTTTCAGACGGGGCAGGGCTGCGTTTCCACAGTATTGGAGTTGCGGAGGACACGGCCACGTTGGCTGTTTTCTCCCCATCCCCCCTCACGGAGTGTCATGAGGCACACCCGACTATGATGGACACTGCTGCTGCCAGCGCGATGATGCATGCCGTGCCCACCTCAAGCTTCACTGCGCATGGAGGAAGTGACATCACATCCTGCGGCGCACAACCGCACCCGGCTCTGGCGACGACCTGGAGTAACAGGACACCCTCGATAGAGCTGGTAGATCACACCGCCTTTATTCGTCCGTTGGCCGCGATGGAGAGTGCCGTGGGTTATCTTTGCGGAAGTCTTCCCACGCGGTACATGCGGACCCCGCTGGTGCTGCCGGTTGGCATTCAGGAGTTCATCACACAGTTGCCAGACCGTGTCGTCTCTTTCTCCAGTTGGCAGGTGACGCTGCCGCCGTCGTTGCAGTGCAGCTGCACCTCCTCCATGCTGCGGCAACCGTCCTCGCTCTTCCACATTGTGTCCGAGTACAACGCCCGGGACCCGGACGGGAGCGCGATGCCGCCGGAAGGACCACAAGATCATCACCCGCAACAACATCCTGAACGCGGGCGAGAGTGGGTTTCTGCGCGCAAAAGCATTCAACGCGAAGGGACGCCCGCGTCGTCCGTACAGGAGGGAAAGAGACTGGAAAGCGTTGGGGCGGGAGCTGCCTCAAGAGCGCATCGAAATCGAAGAGAACTTCTCACGCGCTACGAGCGCCTTCTGGAAATTGCGTTCGATGATGGCAAGCCTTGGCCGCTCTTCAGTTTCATGCGCCGCGTGCTGTCCTCGAAAAAACTCTCCGAATCGGAATATCCTCGAGCCGCCTCACATTTGCTAACTCTGCTGGAGGGTGTGAAAGAGGCGTTGCAGCAGCACCTGCGCGAGGCGGAGGAGGTGCCGAAAAAGGCAGGAAAAGGGGAGCAGGAAAGGCGTCGGGCCTCTTCTTCCAATGCGTGGAGTGACGAGCACCACCTGGGCGAGGGACGCAGCTCCGCTACCGCGTCTACGCGTAACAAGGGATGGAAAACGGTGCAACTTCGCGCGGCGCCGCTAACTAAACTGCGCCTAGCCATTCTCAAGGCAGAGGCCCCGCGGCACTCCCAACTGCTACTTCGGTCCTTTCAGGCGATGTCGGCCGACGCCGCACAGTGGATAGATGCCGTACACCTCTACACCAGGGAGCTGGCGGAATGGAGCATGCTGCAGTATCTGTTTGACGCGACGCATCGGGAGAGCACCACGTTTTTTGTCGAGCTCGCCTCTGGGCATGTGGCGTCGCTTCATCTTGGCGTTCATGCCCTTCAGCCTTTGCCACGGAGTTTGGCGGCGCAACCGCGTCCCGGCGCCTCCACAGTCGGCGGTAACGTGACGGAGGAGGAAGAGTTGGAGGGGGCTGCGCCGAACCAATCCCCATTTCCATGCACAGATCCGACTATTTTTCGTCTCACGGGATGCCTTGTAGGGGCGCTGCCGTTAAAATGCCCCTATAACGTCTTTCTTGGCGGGGCAACCCAGTGTCTCTACGCCACCCTGCGCTATAGTCGTGATCTTGCCGGCATCGTGAAGTTTGGCCTGCAAGACATGAAGTGCTTCGCGTGGCGGGGCGCCACGCTGGCGCAGTCTCTGCCGGGTGACGGCTTGGACACGGATGCGGCAATTCGCGGCGGCATTGTGACGCTGTTGCCGGAGGTGCCCAGTCGAGAGTGTGTCCGATGTATGGCCCCAGCCGCGCTGCTGCAGCCGGCTGAGGCCTCCACGAGCGCCTCTATCGTGGCGCCCTCGTTGGAGGATGCCCTCAGCAGCCTTCCGGTGGAGGGGGCGACGCAGATGGTGGCGTTGGACGCCACCACGGTGGAACTCGCCTCCGCTGCGCCGAGTCCGACGAAGGCGTCAGAAACGACCGCCCTCGTGCTCGGCAGCGAACTGGCACACGACGCTGTAGGGAAGCCTGCGGCATCGGAATCCCATCGTGAGGAAGAGCGTAGACGTCTGCCTGCTGTGGCGGTTACGGCGATGGATGCCTCTGCCTCAGCCGCAGTGACGAGAACAACACCAACGGCAACGCTCTCCGCGTTGGACGGCGCGCAGAAAACGTCTTCTACAATGAGTACAACAGCGCCTTGCACGTGGGGGTCGAGGGTGACGGCGCCGCATCACGTTCCCCCACCGCCACGCCTCTTTGACGCCGCCTCCATCCTTGTAAAACTCATGGATGACCGGCTGCCCATGATTGACGAGCCAGTCTGCACGGGCTTTACCGAACCCAAGTTGGGGGGCTCCGATGACCTTATTCAGCTTTACCACGGTGACGGCGGCACAATGAACCAACGGGCTTTCTTCATGGACGCCGCGAAGGCGCCTATGCCGCCACTGAAAGCGGCAGATGGGGCTGTGACGGAGCAGCAGCACCGTGCCGAGGCGGTGGATACTGTTGAAGACAGGGTACAGCAACTCATTCGCGCCGCCATAAGCCAGGATAACCTGTTAGGGACTCCAGCGTATCCGCATCGCTGGTGTCGTTGGTCTCCACAGTGGTAGAAAAACAGTGGTGAAAAGAAAGAGAGAGGGAGAAAAAGGAAAAGGAGGAAATGATCGTAAGTAAAGAATAAAATATGGTCTCTAGTGAATTTGGGCCATTTTTTTTTCTTGCTGGGTTATCCTCCACACAAGCCTTCCCCACCATTATTTATTTATTTGCTTTGTCTTTGATATTGATTTCTGCATGGACTGTGGGCGAAGTATGCGTGCCCGCATTGTATGGGCCTCGACGCGCACCTTTGGTTGATGTAAGTGCAAAAATGTTGCATGCACACACACACGTCTGCGAAAGTGGTGCTATTTGACGCGGTTATTGGGGGACGCCAGTGAGATTTTTTTTTCCTTCCTTCTTTTGCGTGCATCCCCATTGCTCTCGCGTCCTCTTCGTTTGGTTTCTCTCCATTTCCTCCTTCTTGGGGGAGAAGGCTGGGAGCGCGAAGGGGAGAGCCTTGCGGGCGGAGGGGGAGGGAACCGGCCGAAGTTCCACTTGCCGCGGGCGAGGCGGCGGCGGCAACCCAGCCGAGAACAACGATACCTGGTGGTGGTGGCGGCGGCGGTGGCGGCAATAATTTAGCTGCAACGCAAAGCAACGAGAGATGCTCGGGGACTTAAGTGTTCGGCGGGCGATGAGTCGCCTGCACAACAAGACGGCGGAGCAGCGGCGGGTGGTGGACGAGATGCGGCAGCGTGCCGAGGCGCTCACGGGAAGTGGACGGGCCTCGGCAAAGGCGAAGAATAAGAAGCCGCCGCCGCTGTGCTTCGTTGAGGTGGCAGGGGAGGCGGACCTCAAACAAGGTTTCTTTCCTGACGGCATGCTAAGCGGTGTCGCCATTGGCGTCTCGGATGCGCTGGACGTGCTGGAATTTCGCACGCGCTACGGGGCGGAGTCGCCGCTGCTACACCAGATGCCACACACGGAATTCGCCTTTGTCTCTTGGCTGCGCCGCCGCGGCGCCCGGTTCATTGGAAAGCTGGCCTGTAAGACACCGCTGACGATGGGCGAGGCAAGCGTGCTTGTCCCGGAGCACCCTGCGGCCGCGGCGGTGCATCTGAAGGCATGTAATTACGCCATTGGATCCGCCCTCATGGGGCCGGCGGCTCTGAGCTCACCGGTGCACTACGACGTCGCTGCATTTAAGCCCACTGCACAGTGCTTCGCCACCTTCACGGGAGGATACCGCTTGAGTATTCCTTCCATGTCTATTGGTATAACAGCGGCCCGCCTCGACGACATCTTCTATCTCTGGGAAGTGTTTACCTCCGCTATTCAGCCGGGCTACTTTCTTGACGAGAGCCAACGAGAGCCAGGTGGCGGTGGCAGCAGCACCGGCACCGATCAGGACAGCAAAACCCATGGCGTTAGCGGCAGCAGCAGCAGCAGCAGCAGCACCAGAACCAGAACCAGCGTCAGTGCTGGTAGTAGCAACAGGAGTGGTGGTGGTGTTGCGGCTGGGGGCGCTGCCAGACCGTCGAGGAGCGTAAGCTACATGGGCTTTGATAAAGTCAGCATGTCAGGTTCACCGAAGGAGCTCCGGGGTCGTCACACGGAACTGTCGGTCGGCTACCCCGCCGACTGGATTGACAGCCTCTGCCAGGAGCGGCTGTTGTCCGCCGACGAGTTTCGCCGCCGCATTCTCCGCCTTGTCACGACGCAGAATGCGATGCGCAAGAATGAGCTGCTGGAGGTCATCCCACTGACGCTGGACGTTGACCTCGAGGTGGTGTTCAAGGCCATCCAAACCATTTCCCTCTATGAACTTTCACGGGCGGTCGACGGCCTCTTCGCCCCTGCAGGCCACGGCGGTGGCAGGGCGTCGTCGTCGCGCCCCTCCACAATGTCGCAGTCGGGGCTACTGGATGAGCTTCCGGATGAGTTGGTGCCAGCCATCTTCAACGGCAGGGCGCTGACAAGTCTCGATTACCAGCGGGCCCTGCGAACCCGCGAAAATGTTGCGCGGGCCACGGCAGAGCAGTTTCGCGATGTGGATCTTATTGTAACACCCATCTTGTCGGAGCCGTACGTCAGCGGCAGCATGCGCAGCATCGCCCCTCTACTCCCCTTCTCGCTGGGTGGCAACCCGATGGTCTCCGTGCAGCTGGAGGCGGACCTACCGGTGGCGTTGATCGGGGAGCTGGGGCGCGACACAGGGCTGTTTGAGGACAGCACCACATTCCTTCAATTTGTTCGCGGGACATCTCCGCCCTGGTGGCGCCGAAAGTTCATGAGCTGACCGCGTTCTTTAGGCCACCAGCGTGTAATTTGTTGTTGTTGTTGTGTGCCTTGTGGGCCACTTGTTGCTGTGCGTTTCCCGGGTTTCCTGACTTGTTCCGCCACAAACACTTCCTTGCCAGAGCGACCGCTTCTCCATTTTTTTCATTCTCTGTTTGCTTGGCGCTTCACCGCAACTAAGTTTTCTCCACACGCACACACGCACACACGCACACGTACACACACGCCCCCTCCCCCTTCCCGCACGAGCGTATGCGCGTGCGGTGCCCCGCCGCCGTGATGAGAGACGAGCTTAGGACACCTTTGGACGCGGATTGCCGCGCGTGAAAAGCAAATGCCTTATCGATTCGTACCCTGAGCCGCACACGCGCACACACCCCCTCCCCCTCCCCACACGAGCGTATGCGCGTGCGGCGCCCCGCCGCCGTGATGAGAGACGAGCTTAGGACACCTTTGGACGCGGATCGCCGCGCGTGA